GAGGCCACCGCGGGGTTTGCTCGCGAAGCCGTCGCCTCCTTCGCGCCCCTTCTCCCCCGGCCTCCCAGCCCGCACCCGACACCGGCTCAGAGCAGAAACGACCCTTTTCCAGTTTTCCTCTCCAAGGAGAAAGGCTGCAGGGCTGGACCCGAGACACAGCCAGCTGCAGACCCTGCCCAAACGACGGCTTTGGGACGAAACCTTTCTGCCCCTCTCCCCAGTCTCCAAGAAACTGGCCTGGCCTCTTTGTCCGCAAGAGCAAGAGCGCGGGAGCCGCTGGGAGGAAGACACCTCTGGGGAGGGTCCAGAAGAGCCGGAAGGAGGGATGAGTCCCCAGTCTCCAAGAAACTGGCCTGGCCTCTTTGTCCGCAAGAGCAAGAGCGCGGGAGCTGCTGGGAGGAAGACACCTCTGGGGAGGGTCCAGAAGAGCCGGAAGGAGGGATGAGGTTGCTGGCTCTGCGCGGGGCAGGCAGAGCGCTTGGACTCTCTTGCGCACTGAATGCTTGAGACATCATATATATATTTTTTTCTTTCTTTCTTTTTATAAAGAGACTAAAACAAGAGTCAACAGCTACGAACACAAAGGTTTAAAATGGCAGCAATGGGAGAAGGAGGGAGTCTGTGTCCCGCGTCCAGCGGTGGCCGGCAGGACGGCACGGTGGAAGGAGGCAATTGCGTGCGCCCGAAGGCGGTGGTGGGTGGCGGGACTCTGGACCAGAATTCACAAAAATAAAAATGTTACAAAAAATTAAAATAATTATAATAATAATAGTAGTAGTAGTAGTAAGTCGGGTTTGCCAGCTTCCTCCCTGCACAGTCGTCTGCACCTTGGCACCTAGGCAAAGCATCCTCCTCCTCCCCCCCAAAGCTGCTTGCTCCGCACGGAGCAGAGGCTCTTCTCTGTGGCCCCGGCGCTCGTTCAGGCTCCTGGGACCCTCCTGGACTGAAGCAATGGCTGATGCAGCGCCAGACACACAGGTACTTAACGCAATAACGTACAGGTGACAAAGGGAAATCCCAAAACACAAAAGGGGAAGTGGAGTTTCCGGGTTTGCCAGTGGCGTCCACGAGAGCAAGGAAAGGCACGGCGCCCGCGCGCGGCAGGCGCTAGGCCCGCACCCCGACCGGACGCGACCAGAGCCAGGGTGCAGTCTGGAGAAGAAGAGGAGGATACTGAAGGCTCACCCTCAAGTCTTGGGATTACAAAAGCTGAGAACTACAAAACTAAATACAAAGGGGAGAAACAGAGCGAGAGCGTGCGAGCGAGTGATCCACTATCTGGTGCCAGACCCTTGCGCTCCCCTCGTCTTGCCGTGGGGGTCGTTTCGCTTCCTCCCTCGCAGAGCGAGCGCACGAGTGGGGAGACCCAGCGGCTGCCCCCAGGGCTCTCGGCGCTCTCGGGCTCTTGCATTGGCGGGTTGCCGAGGCTGCTCCTCAAACCTTGTAGTAAATGTTGGCCGGGCTCTGGGGGGGCATCTCCTGGACAATGTAGACGGGGTGCCCGTAGTCTCCGCTCACCTTCTCGTAGTGAGGGCAGTAGTTGTTTTCTGTAGTCCGTAAGGGGATGATGATATCGCTGGGTTCTGAGCCTGCGTTCCCACTGCATTTTGGGCTGGCCAAGGTGCTGAGTGACAAGGCTGCGGCCCGCTGCTGGGTGTGCTTCCGGTGCCGCTTGCGGATCTTGATCAGGAGGACGACGAGGAAGATGATGATGAGAATGAAGATGACGCAGCCAGCACCAATCGCAGCAAAAACTGCAACCTTGGAGCCAAAGAATCCATCGCTGGGACCTTGGGTTTCCTGCCCATCTTGGTTGACAGAACCTGCGTTGCAAGGGGAGACAGGCGTTAGATCAGTGTGAAAAGACAGCCTCCCTGTCACGTGCTGAGCAGTTCTCTGCTATAGCAATCCCAGGAGACACAGAGAGCCTCCGCTTAGTATCTTTGCGCTGTTGCAAACACAGCAGAGCAACAGTTCACTGTCCGGAGGATCCAGTGGACTGAAGGTCAAAAAGGAAGCTTGCTGTTCGCATCTTCAAGGTGCTTTGAACAGTCAGTCGGAATGAGATTGGTTTCACGCTCTATCTGTGCATGGCTCACACGTTATGGAGCGGATGAGAGCCAAGGATTTGAGCCCCTCTCCCTTCCTCCACTCAGCAAAACAGCCTCCTCATGCAGAGTGAACTGATACAGGAGCCCTGCTCCGGGTTAGGAGGGGAGCATCAAGTCTCTTGCTTCCAGAAGGAGCAAGGAGCAGGAAACAGCACATGCTACAAACACCTCAGCACAGCAGCGTCTCTGCTCCTTCCTACCCATTTTCATATGCTGTACATCCCAGATCTACAAGTCCCTTCACCCCAACCTCCATGAATCAGGCATCATAGGGCAGATAACCTTGGATAACCACAGAGAAGGTCCTACGGCTGTCCTCTCCCTCACCCTGCAGTGGTATTCTCTCTTTTCACAGTCTCCAGTCCAGCCAGGAGATAGAATGCTGTTCATATCCGGCTTATAATCAGAATGAACCCCAGGAGCCCTTGCTCTCCTCAACAGACTTGAATGCTCTAATGAAAGTGGGTTCTGATACCCATAGACCCACAATATCCTATTACTGACCCCCCATCTTCTCCTGACCCCCACTCTGTGGCAGCTTCAGGCCCCTGAGGGGAGACCGCTTGACTGTCTGTATTGCAGAAGAAAAGAGCAACTTTTCCCTGCTTCATCTGATTCCACTTTTCTCTCAGCAGGGTCAGGAACTCAGGAAACTACCTTCAAAGGGCTTTCACACTAGCTCAGCTCAAAAACCCAAGGACCTCAACTCCTCCAAACCCTTTCATTTCTACCTCGAAGAACAGACGGGTAACAAAAAGAGGAGGAGGAGGAGGAGAGCGCTGAAACAGCACTTCCCTCTGCAAAGCTACTGCCTGGACGGACACAAATTGGGAAAATACATCCAAGAATGAACTTTCCCAGAGCCGCTCTACACTTCAGCAGTGCCTAGCTGCCTGTGCCTTCCCCGATAACACAGACTGAGCAGTATCTTACTCAAAAAACAGAGTTAAGGCAAGGGGAAGCTGTGAGCAGTAGAGATCGCAGAAACCTGCGCAGCATTTACAAGCAATAGATACAAATCTCTGCTCCAAAATGCCCTATATCCCCTGGGATGCCCATCAAACAAGCCAGACTTTGTTCTGTCCTATCAACAGCAGATGCTGGCCAACCTCCTGGGCCCCACAGGCACACAGAGGTCCCATCCCCTTTTCCTAAGATGTCCTCAGCCAAATCTACCTGGCTTCCCAGGCTCTTCCACCGCAGGGACCTTGTTGCGTGGACTCTGTGTGACAATTTTCACTGTGTTGTCGGATTCCTTGCTAGGCCGACTCGTTGTCAGCTGCTCTGGGATCACTGCATTCGGATCTGGGGAAAAAAAAGAGAAGGGCCAGATGAGAAACCTCAATTCAAACTTGACAACAGCAGCTCTTTCCCCCATCTAAATAACAATCTTCCCCCCAAGCCTCTACCCACGGTGGGAACCACTGTTTTCCTCCAGACCTCTGGCAGAGCAGTCGGCATTTGCGAAAGGTTGCTGTCCTGCCCTTTCAGACCAGCGCCGCAGGAGAGCAACGTGCACATCCGGGTGAGAAAAGGGAGCGCAGATTGGTGGGGGAGCTCTGGGGCGTTAGGTACAGCTCCCTACCCACCAGACAGCCATCCTGAACAGCATCTCCTTCCTCCAAATCAGCCGGGCAATATCCCATGTCTAGACTACCGTCGACCAGTGGAACAGTAAGCGGTGTTTCTTAGCTCAGTCCAAAACCTCCTGGAGGGTCCTGTGCCCCACAGCACTGCCATATAACAAATGGGAGTTGGAACACGCTGGTGGGGTAAAAAAAAAATCTTGCCCAGCACAGACTAAGTCTTTCCTTGGTGTAAAGTCACCACCTGCACAGAACCAGCCCAGAGAATTCCACTAATTCCAAAGGTCGCCAAACAAACGCGGAGAGAAGAGAAAAGCCCTGCAGAGCTCTGTGGGAAGGGACTGTGGGTAGAAGGCATATGGGGAAGGGAGCGCGAGCGCTTTACAGCGTGGTGCCAAAAATGGAAACATTTCAATTAAACAGAAGTGCAGCTATCAAACACTGTTCTTCCACAGCTCTACAGGATGATGCCAGAAACGCGCAGAGCGCTGAGGTCAACTGCAGAGCAGAAAGCACAAAGCCCGTCTGAACGAAGAGCCCTGGACAAAGCCGGGAAGACGGCAGGAAAACAGAGGAAGGAGCACAGAAACTGAGGCTAGGACTGCTAAGGCATCAGGGCAAACCGTTATCTGGGACTACGCAAAGCACCTGGATGCAAACGAGGATTAAGCTGCAGAGTTGCAAGGGTCAGCAATGACATGCCTGATTAAGTCGCAAGACTTTTCATATGTGGGCAAGCAGGGACGGAAGGAGAAGATACCGGACCAGGGCCAGTAACAAGTCTTAGATGACGACAGACTTGCATAGGACCATAAACACCGAAGCAACCACCGAGTCCAGTATGATGCTGGTAGCAAGAGATGGAGCCAATCACACTGATCATGGTGATGTGACATGCCATCTTGAAACTTCCAACCTCTGTGGCAAACGTGCCAGTCCTGCAAAGATTAGCTTGTGAAGTAACGTGCCAGTCCTGCTGCTGAGGCTCCCCAACGCGCTCCCAGCTGGCCAGACCCTGCCTGTGCCCCAGCAGGCCACCTACACCCACACCGGGAAGGCCAGGAACCCAAGTAGTAACAAGTAAGGAGCAGGGAGAAGGAGTTTCCCCAGAAAAGCACTGCAGTCACCTCTTTGCAGGGCAGGAGGGACTCTACGTGCTGCTACAACTGAGTCGCGTGAGAACCGAGGCAAGCCCAATGCTCATGAAACTCTCTGGAAAAGCCTACAAAACACAGCAGGGGACTGTGCTGCTGGCTGTGCCATTTTGGGTGGCTCCATCCTGGAAAGGGAGGTGACAATGCAGCCCCCTCCCTCCCTCCCGGAAAACTTGGTCATGGGTTTTGCAGCATAGAGCTGCAAAGCAAAAGCAGCACCCTAGTCTCACGTCCAGCACCCAAGGACACTTGGTTTTCATCGGTCCATCATGCCAGGAGCATCTTCAAGCACCACCACCGAGTGAGATGAGTTTCTTGTGCCGGGATCAGCCAGCAAGAGAGCAGACAGCACACCTGAAATGGCTCACGGCAGCTGCCTCCCCCGTTCCTCCCGTCCACAGGCAGCCGCTCATGTGCTTGTGAACGTGCTGGGGTGCCTGCTCGCAGGGACCAGAAACCTTCCCTCGCTCTCCAGACCTGACTTGGTTATGAAACAAAGCACAGACCAACCGCGCGGGCTACTCGCCAAGCGCAGGAAGCCCACAGCAGCCCGGGAGCCCAGCAAGCGCGGCTCCTCCGTCCCTTCGCCTGGGAAGGGTGACACAGCACGGAAGTGAAAGCAGCCAACCCACAGGAGTCACGAAAATAGCACAAAGCTGGGCGCTCCTCAAAGGAGCGTGAGCAAGAACAGGCAACAGACCCGGACTCGCCGCCAAGCAAAGCCCACGGAGTTAGCCAGCCTCCTGCCCCTCTCTGCAGCTTCCCATTTTCCATCTGGAGCATAAGCTCTCCAGGATAAGGATCATGGCTGCTTCTGCCTGAACAGCACCCGCCCAAAAAGCGAGCAGAAAAATGAAGTTCAATTCAGCACTGCCACGAAAGGAAGAAAGCGGAGCACCTGGAAACCACGCAAGAGGAATAACAGGGGTGCAGAGCAAAGCTAAAACGTTTCGGTACTTGAGGGAAGCAGTTCCCCAATCCTAAACACCCCCCACCCCCTTTTTCTGAACTCCCATGCGTGGGTCTGAGCGAGTTTGTAGCACGGGCAACAGAGCGAACACAAAGGGAACGAGTCTGCCAAGACTGCAGCACTAGTTCTTTTGTTTATTGTAAATATTGGCCCCAAAGTGAAAACAAAATAATGAAAAGCAGCCACCAGGAGCTCTGCATTGAGACGGCTGCTGGAACAAGCCTATGGCATCACTGGAGCTGGGAGGAACGCTGCAGTTTAGGGACAGGAAGTTTTCGGGGAGCTCTCTCCATCAGAGGACAATTCCCTGCCACGCAGGATTAGAGAGCTCCAGCAAGCCAGGGCCACGCTACAGCGGCACACGCCGGAGCCAGCCGGGGAACCGGCTGTTG